CGTGGCTCGGAGGCCCAAGGCCCTGCCGGAATCTCTTAGGCGGCGGGAAGCCCGCCTCCTCGGGCATGTCAGGAGGGCGCAGAGACTGGGGGAGCCAGGGCGGGCAGCTCGCAGCTCCCGGGAGCCGGGTGCCAGCACGCACCTCCCCTTCCAGCCACGTGCTAGCCACTCCGGGCGACCAAGGGAGACCTCACGGCTTCCTCTCGCCTTTAGGGAAAGGACTACAACTCCCAGCATGCACTGGGAGCTTGGGAAGGCTTTCACTTCCTGAGGGCGAGGAGAGCAGCATCCGCGGTACCACAAGAAAAGGGTCCGGAGCGACCACAGCGAAAGAAGGGGTGTACGGTTCCTTGGGACCTTCACCTTCCTTGGCTAATAAAGCGGTCTTCCAGTTTTATTGTGCTGGTAATACTAATTCTAGTAAACACGCGTTTCCCCTTCTCCTTTCACAATAGTACTCGCTTTTCAAGGAAAGTGCTTAATTTTTAAAAATCAATGAGGAACACAAACATTTGCAATTATTTAATCCTCTAAGCAATTTAATACTATTAATCCCCAATTTACAGACAAGAAACGGAGCCTTCAAAATTAAAGTCATTCACAGGTTTAAAAAAAAGTCAGAATGTTGAAAAGGATACTCGTGATCATATTGCGTTGCAGAAAAGGAAAGCATTATATATTTCCTAATAATTCTATATTCTCCTCAGAAAATGGCTATCCCAAATGCAGTGGCATGTTCCTGTAATACAAGCAGGGAAAGAGGGATTTTAATGGAACTAAAATTGTATTTCCCCCTCCTTTCCTCCAACTATTCCTGCCAGACTTTGAAGTTCTCTACAGTGCTTCCCAACACCCATCACACAAACACCAATCAATGAAGAGTCAGAACTGCAGCAAGGGAAAGTAGGTTAAAACTAGTTTGCCCGTCCCCTCCTAAGTTCAAAGCTCTTAGATGATTTTCTAATTCACACAGAAAGACTGGCAAGCAGCCCATTTGCTCTGCATACAGGAAATTATATAAAAATAATTTATCATTAGCTTCAACCCACATGAAGGATTTGAGGCATCCTCTGAAGTTCATCTCCATGACACTTATATTTGTAAACCTGTTAAAAATTCTCCTTTCCCCTTCCTCTAGATCTGAGGCAATTTTCCTTTAGTTGCTGACAGTATAGTGACCAGGGTTTACTGAAAAAAGTACATGTTGAACTAATAGCAAATATGTGTTTAAGAATTGACAAAATTTCACTTCTTGCCCTTAAAATTTTAGAAAGAAAACCCAAAACTAAAAAGGAAAATAAAATACCAAATAGAACTGCTATAACAAAATACCACAGACTAGGTAGCTTACAAACAACAGAAAAGAATTGCTCAGTTCTGGAGGTTGGATTCCAAGATCAAGGTGTCAGCATGGTTGCCTTTGGTTGAGGGCCCTCTCCCTGTTTCATTGCTGCGCCTTTCTTGTACCCTCAGGTGAAGGAAGGGGGTAGGGATCTCTGGAGCTTTTATATAAGGCATTAATCCCATTAATGAGGAATCTACCTCATGATTTAAGTACCTCCCAAAGGCCCCCACCTCTTAATGCCATCACATCAGGGATTAGGATTTCAACCTATGAATTTGGGGTGGCGGCACAGATATTCAAACCATAGCAATAATTGAATGTTAACTCAATTTATGGACTTGGAGTATGTAAAAGACAGACCTCGGTCCTTTTTCCCAGTGTGCTTTCCCGAGTAAGCTAATGAAGGAGACATGTGCTCCACATGATCGTAAGTCCAGGTCGGTAACACGAATGAGTAAAATAATCTCTTCATAGAGAACATTCCCTGACTCTAGAAGCAGCCACTAGTGACCTCTGGGCAATAGCTGCCATGCAGGCTGGGTATTGCCAGACCTTCCCATTCTTTTCAAGGAAAGTAAAAAAATGAATATTTTCATGTGAAATCTGTCCATTTTATTTTTATGTTTTTATTGCCCTATCCAGTTGCTCAGTGGTTAGAGCGTTGGCCTGTGGACTGAAGGGTTTTGGGTTCAATCTAGGTAAAGGGCACATACTTTGGTTGCAGGCTCAATCCCTGTCACTGATCAGGCTGTGTGGGAGGCAACCAATAGATGGGTCTCTCTCACATCAATGTTTCTATTTCTGTCACTTCACCCTCCCTTCCACTCTCTCTTAAAATCAATGGAAAAATACCCTTGGGTGGGGATTTAAAAATAAGAGAAAAGTAAAATGTTTTTATTTATTTTAGAGAGAGGGAGGACAAGGAAGAGAAACATTGGTCAGCTGCTTCCTGCATGCCCCACACTGGGAATCAAGCCGGCAACCTGGGCATATGCCCTGCCCGGGAATTGAACCATGACCAGCTGATTCATAGGTTGATGCTCAACCACTGAGCCACATTGGCTGGGCCATTAACCTCTCTTTAAAAATACCAGGTAATAGTTTGCTGATCAAAACCAAGTATTTATTCAGCACCCATGTGCCGAGCACTATGCCAGGCACTGTGGTGGATACAAAAATTTAAGACATGGTCCCTGCCCTTAAGGAGCTTACATTCTTATGAGGGAGACAAAACTAATATACATGTACCAGCTAGAAACAGTACAAAACAATATATAATTTCGTGTAGGAGTATATCGTAGACTTGAAGCTTACAGGGATTCAAAGAAGAAAGACAATGAAATGGGCCTTAGAGACAAAATTTCTTGAGGAGTCGGAAAGGGGTCAGGCCTTGAAGGACTGACGAAACTAAACTGAGGCTCCTGTTAGAAGTAGGAGTAAGGTTCAGAGAAAGGCAAAAGGTATGCATTTGATATGGGGGCTAAGAAGTCATTGTGGATTTCTGAGCAGAGAAATGACTTGATCATAAAAAGTTCACCAGCTTTCATGCAAATTCATATAATATGCAAATAGCTTAGAAGACATCCTACAGGACACTTGTAACAATGGCATTTTGTGACTACAACACAGATGGCACTCATCTGTCAAAGGAAAACACAGCCGCAACATAAAATGCAGGCTATCAAGGACAGATGACAATTCTAGGAAGCCCTTTATGCAACATGCCAATAGCTCCAATATTTCCTAATTCCCATAGACACCAGAGACAGAGTGAGGGCTTCATTACCAAAATCCAACACTTGGGCGCTCTCTGCTTAGAAAGACTACACAAGAAGTTTGAAAGGTATTGGGACATATAAGAGCGACATAGAAAAAGAACAAGTGGAAGAGGAAAATGTAAATCATAGTAAACCCCATATCAAAATGTATATAAAATGTTATCTCCTAGGACAGTGGTCGGCAAACTGCGGCTCGCGAGCCACATGCGGCTCTTTGGCCCCTTGAGTGTGGCTCTTCCACAAAATACCGATTCTGCGCATGAGCCACGAAGTTTCAATCGCACTGTACGTGCGCGCCCACACGTGGTATTTTGTGGAAGAGCCACACTCAAGGGGCCAAAGAGCCGCATGTGGCTCGCGAGCCACAGTTTGCCAACCACTGCCCTAGGGAGATGCAATTTGTATGTCCATTTAAAAAAAACAAAACCACGAACATATATTGTATTTCTACAACTCAATAACTATGCCTTAGTCAGGTGTGCTTATCAGTATTAATGGTAGAATTCAAGAATCTCTTAAATTATGTTAGGTAAATTGGTCACAAAATTCCATACACTGAATCTCATTTTTCAGTTGATTTGCATTATGAAAAAGAAGGGTGTTCTGGAAGAATTGAGACTGAGAGGTAAGTTGGAGAAGAGGTGAGGACTTTTCCTTATGTAACCTGTTTACAACATAGGGCAAGAGATGGTGGTAGTGGGACTGGCCAACCTGGTAAGAGGACAGTGACTGAAGTGACCACTGCCACAGTGGAAGTCTGCCACTAGGAATTCTCATACCACAGAGAAACCAAAATCCCATAACTGACTGTGTGTAGGTCATCAATTCAAAATTGGTTTCCAGTTTTACCCAGTCATTAATATGTACAGACATTCCCTCCTTAAATGAACTCAGTGAATAGATTTTAGGATTAAAATTTTACCACAAGAATTCCATAAATTGAATAACTCAAAGTTAACTAAGAGAGAACAAATAAAACTAGAGAAACTTATTTAAAAAATAAACAATTTAAAAAAACCCTTCTAATTGAATTCAAGCTTTCTTGAATAAAGACATAACAAGTTAAGAATCCCATAAGGATTCTGCATTCCAAGATTGGCATTTAAATTTTTTAAACCACTTGGGAAAAAAAGCAGTCCCATTAACCTACATTCTATAAAATCACAACAATCATATTCAAAGTTACCGACTAGCAGCATTAAAATATTTAAATTCCATTCCTTACGCACATTCCATTTAGACATTAAAATACTATTTCACTTCAAAATCTGAAAAAATCCCATTTAGAATTGTTTAATCTAAAGCATCATCTTTGAGGGAAATCTCACTCTAGAAAGCTACCACTTAACCAGTCTGCAACTACTTAGGAAGAAGTCCTGTGTCTATGTGGTGTTCATTAAAACTATTTTGAAACAATCTCTTTTCTTGGGATGCCATTTTAGTCCTCTGAATTATTTGGGCATGTGATGCACATCTGCTGAGACCCAGGGAAGCAAATATTTTGGATATTTATTGAACCCTAGGCATGAAGTTCCTATTTCTGTGGAACCCAATTTCTACTTGGTTTGGAAGATACACCAGGTACTTGGCTCTTGGCTCTGAAAAGCTTCTTAGCTTTTTATGAAGCAAACAGTAAATGTTAACCAGCCAAAGGCCCAGGAGAAATATATCCCTGTCTAACTGGTACCTTGTTCATCTGGCTCCAAAGTCAACATTGTAACTTGATGTCCAGTCTAAAGATCCTTCTGAGGCTTTACAAAGGTGGCGATGTGTCTTCCCCTAGATTTCTTAATGGAGAAATGAAGAATAAATAAGATGCCACATTAACTTTCTGCCTATAACTGAACTGTCCAGTCTGAATTCTTGCTGGTTTAAGAACCACCCTACTGCCCTGGCCAGTGTGGCTCAGTTGGTTAAAGTATCATCCTATGCATTGAAGGGTTGAGGGTTCAATCCCCATTGGGGTATATACTGGAGGCAACTGATGCATGTTTCTCTCTCCCATCGATGTTCCCCTTTCTCTCTAATCAATGAAAATATCCTCAGGTGAGGATTAAAAAAAAAAAAAAGGAACCACCCTAACCCACATCATCTGACAACTTGAAGTTTTGTAAAACCCCGATGAGAACAAACTGTCTGCACAACATAAACAAATGTTCCTACTGGAGCCGCCATTCTGAATGAGTAAGATGTATCTATAGCCACATATTATCAGCCGCATATTTCCAATCTTGAAATGAAATCCAGTCGACAGCTGTGGAGACACACGAAGAGTGGGCATGTAAACTGCTCCGAGCTCAGACCTATGCAGGAGAGCTGGAACACAATCTCATCACGTAAAAGATCACACACAAAAGCTTTAATTAGTGAGAGAGAGATGGAATTGCGTTTTATTTTGTCCTCTCTGAAACTTCCATTTACACCACGGCCTCGTCTATCAAAGAGGAGGAGGAGGAAAGAGCTCTGCCTTTCACCACAGAACTCGGCACGCATGTACTTGTTCGATAGAGGCGGCAGGGTATGTTTCTCCAGTTTTTGGCTCCGAGAGATTACACTTTCAGTACCAGTGCAGTGAGGAACCACCGGCAAACTGCTGGAAATGTCTTCTGGATTAATCAGTGTACCATTTCATAAAGTGCTTCTGGAGTTAAAATCTGTCAAGCTGTCAAAAGTGTCCACACTTTTGCAACACAAAGGATAAAAGAATCCCAATGGGTATGTGGTGAGTCCTTCCCGGCTGGGTCTCGTTATTGGCACTGCTGCTTTACCCGCCGAGGCGCTGGCCCTCACCCCAGGCGAAGCCTCCTGGCCGCTCTTCAGGTAGTGGATTGTAATTTGGATCCTCATCTGGTGTATCAAAAATAGCTTTCCTAAAAAACAGGAAACCGATATAATTTAGTCCCAGAATCATCTCAGGTCCTAAATGTTGCAAGGTCGAAAAGATCCCCTGAGTTTTCAACCAATGGACTAGCATTACATCTGTCTACCAATGAAAAAGTTATATATTTTCAAAGGTATTTACGATTATTTCATATTTATGTTAGCTTTTACCTCCTTTACTAATTTTAAGAGAAAAAGAGGAAGGGAGACAGAGAGAGAAATACCATTGGTTGCCTCCTATATGCACCCTGACCAGGACTGAACCTGCAACCTGGATATGTACCCTGACCGGGAATAAAACCAGCAATATTTCTATGCATGGAATGATGCTCAACCAACTGAGCCATATTGGCCAGGGCCTCCTTTACTAAAAGAAAAAAAATCGGTTTTTTTGTTAATCCTCACTCGAGGATATTTTTCCATTGATGTTCTAGAGTGGAAGGGGGAGAAAGAGAGAAAGAGAGAGAGAGAGAGAGAGAGAGAGAGAAGGAGAAGGAGAGAGAGAGAGAGAGAGAGAGAGAGAGAGGCATCGATGTAAGACACTTAGATTGGTTGCCTTCCGAAAGCGCCAGGGATCAAACCCGCAACCCAGGTATGCGCCATTGACCAGGGATTGAACTCTTTGGTGCACTGGTTGATGCTCCAATCACTGAGACACAAAGGCCAGGGCTCCTTTACTAATTTATTTATTGTTTTAATTTTTAAAAATTTAATTTTTTTACTAAATTTTTAAAATATATATTTTTACTGATTTCAGAGCGGAAGGGAGAGGAAGAGGGACTAAAAAGTCAAAGATAAGAGAGAATTGTTATTATTGTTATTATTATTATTATTTTTTTTACAAAGAGGAAGGGAGAGGGATAGAGAGTTAGAAACATCGATGAGAGAGAAACATCGATCAGCTGCCTCCTGCACACCCCTTACTGGGGTTGTGCCCGCAACCAAGGTACATTCCCTTGACCGGAATCGAACCTGGGACCATTCAGTCCACAGGCCAACGCTCTATCCACCGAGCCAAACCGGTTAGGGCAAGAGAGAATTATTGATTGGCTACCTCTGCATGCCCCCTACTGGGGATCGAGCCTGCAACCTGAGCATGTGCTGTGACCTCCTAGTTTATAGGTCTACACTTAACCACTGATCCACACTGGCCAGGTTCCCGTACTAATTTTTTTTTTATATATATATTTTATTGATTTTTTTACAGCGAGGAAGAGAGAGGGATAGAGAGTTAGAAACATCGATGAGAGAGGAACATGGATCAGCTGCCTCCTGCACACCCCCCACCAGGGATGTGCCCGCAACCAAGGTACATGCCCTTGGCCGGAATCAAACCTGGGACCTTTCAGTCTGCAGGCTGACGCTCTATCCACTGAGCCAAACTGGTTAGGGCCCCGTACTAATTTTTAATACAAAAGCAATACATGTTAATTACAGAGAAAACAGGAAATATATGAGTAAAATATCCAAAATTCCCAGAGATAATCATTTTTGATGTTTTCATTTTTCTTCCAGAACTTTTATATACTTAATTTTACAAAACCTAGATCACACTTCTGTTTTGTAACCTGATTTTCACTAAATTTATCATGGATGTCTCCCCACAATCATTGACAGATGAATGAATAAACAAAATAGAATATACATGCAATGGAATATTATTCAGCCTTAAAAAGAAAGGAAATTCTGACACATGCTACAACAGGGATGAATCTTGAAAGCAGTATGCTAAGTGAAATAAGCTGGTCACAAAAGGACAAATACTGCATGATTCCACTTACATGAGGTACTTAGAGTAGTCAAATTCATGGAGACAGAAAGTAGAAAGTAGTGGTTGTGAAAGGATAGGGGGATAAGGGGACGGGGAGTTATTGTTTAATGCAGCGGTCGCCAACCGGTGGTCCGTGGACCACTGGTGGTCTGTGAGGTCCGAAAGGTTGACGATCGCTGGTTAAATGGACAGAGTTCAGTTTTACAATATGAAGAGTTCTAGGGATGAATGGTGGTGATAGAAGCACAATGTGAATGTACTTAATGCCAGTGAACTGTACCCTACAAGTGTATAAAATGATAAATTCTATGTTATGTGTATTTAATCACAATTAAAATTTTAAATAAATTAAATGTCCAAAAACTTTAAAGCAGCATCTTCTATTTACATTCATATTTCTAATTGTACTTGCCCACAGTTGATAAAATCAGAAGTGTATCTGAAAACTTCTATTATATATTGGGCTCAGGAAAAGAATCTGTATTTTAATATGAGCTCCTTCAATTCTTACAAATTAATAATAAAAACAGGAGCATTTGAGATCCTGCTTCCCAGGATGTCATCAGTTTGATTCAAATAAACTCTTACAGAAATTCTCTACAGGTTTGGACAATTCTAATATGAACACAACACACTTACTCCATCCTCTTACCCAATAAACATACCCAAGATGCCCCCCAGTGATCTTTTCACAACCTGCTTAAAATCTTCTCCCCTCCCCCACACTGTACAACCCCCTTCAGTGCTCACAGCCCACAGCTGGGCAATGGTTCAAGGCTGCATTTTCCTCTGCGTGGGTACCCTATGAGAGGCCCACAGTGAAATCCACCACCACGCTCACCCTGTTTAAAACCTTTTAATAGGAGTTGTGCCGAGAACCTTTGCACTCCTGCGAACCAACGTGGAGCTCTCAGGGCTGGGAGCCTGCAGGCAGCGGCCTGCAACGTGAGTGCCATCTCAGTGCCCACCACACCCTGCATGTGGTCCTGGGGCCTGAGGGAGGGCGATGGTAGGAGGCTGTGTACTGGCCCCAATCTGCTCTCAGTGCATAAATTCACAGAGAAACATGAATAAATAACAACAGAAAATGGTATTGGAACAGTGGGATCAACAATTTTGCACAGAAAGCTTTGGGAGATGATGTTTACTGTAGTCTGCCTGAAATTGGGACAAAATTGAACTAACAAGATGAGTTTGGTGTTTTGAAAAGTGTGAAAGCTGCTAGTGAACTCTACTCTCCTCTACCAGGAGAATTAACTGAAATTAATGAAGCTCTTGCAGAAAATCCAGGACTTGTCAACAAATCTTATTATGAAGATGTTTGGCTGATCAAGATGACACTGAGTAACCTTTCAGAACTAGATGAACTAATGAGTGAAGCAGCATATGAGAAATACATAAAAGCCCGGCCTGTGTGGCTCTGTGGTTGAGCACCAACCTATGAACCAGGAGGTGACAGTTCAATTCCCAGTCAGGGCACATGAGCGGGTTGCAGGCTTGATCCCCAGTAGGGGGCGTGCAGGAGGCAGCTGATCAATGATTCTCTCTCATCATTGATGTTTCTCCCTCTCCCTTCCTCTCTGAAATCAATGTAAATATATTAAATTAAAAAGAGAAAAAGGAAAAAGTGTAACTTTACAGTGGAGAAGCCTCACTGACACTTTAAACAATCAGTGATTACTACCACTTTGACAAATTCAACAACCTGAAATCCTGTCCTAATAGGCTGCAATTAGAAGAATGCAATGTCACTTCTCAACATTCCCGCCAAAGATGCAAAACCTGAGCCTAAATGTGAAAGAACATTAGTCAAAATGGGCCTATAATCTTCACAAATGTCTGTCATGAAAATCAAGGAAAGCCTGAAGAGCTGTTCTAAACTGAAGGAGACTAGTGAGACATAACTAAATGTAACCCCTAGAGCTGAGCTGGATCAAGAACAATGAGGACAACTTCCCAGTGTGTAAGAGGGTTTCAGGATTAACGTTCGCTTACTGATTTTGACTGTAGAAGAAACGTCCTTATTTATAAAAAACACAATTAAAGGGGGTCATGGGCATTATACTGACAATGTACTTTCCCCCCTTACCCAAGGGGGGAAAATCCTTTGTCCACGATCTTATGGTTATCAAACTAGGAAAGAGTAAATACAATACCCCCTGCATTTGACGAGGATGTGGGAAAGGAACACTTTATATGTTGCTGGTAGAAATGTAAACCTGAACATCCATTCTGGGTGGCGATTTATCAATAAACAAAATAGCAATTCCACTTTTAGGAATTTAACCTTGGAAAATAATCATGGATGTGTGCAAACATTTAGCTACAGGGATATTCATGACCCCAATCATAGAAGGGAAAAGCAAGAACTAATGTCAATGTCCATCAGTAAGGGATTAGTAAAATTATGTTATATTCATACCAGGTATATTGTGTAGCTGTCACAATTTCGTAGAACATTTATGATGGAAGAACAATTATGACACATTACTTAAAAAGATTATAAAAAGCATTTTTAAAAAGTACACAGACAATAAAAGACTGATGAACACATAAAAAAGTTAACAATGTTATATCTAAGAGGTGGGATTATGGAGAATTTTGCTTTCTTTGTTTTGTTTAACTATTGTATAACCAACATTTTATAATATAAAAACTTACATTTCATTCCTCAAGTGAACTTTTTAATACAGTATATCCCAAGGACACAAAATTCTGGAGTAGAAAGAGGTCTTATAAAAGCTCTATCCCCAGGAAAAATGAAGTGCAAAAAAGAAGGGACTTGCTTAAAATCACAGGGCTGCTCGATGGAACGGCCTACCCCTGGTTTGTAGCCCAAAGCTATTTCTACTCTAAGGCTTACCTCTACCACTGTTTGTATTTTTTGATTTAAAGATTTTTAAATTATTATTGACTTTTAGAGAGAGAGGGAGAGGGAGAGAGGAACATCAACGTGAGAGAGAAACACTGATCAGCTGTCTCCTGCATGCTCCCTACCGGGGATTGAGCCTGCAACCTGGACATGTACCCTGCCTGAGAATTGGACCGGCAACCTTTCGCTGTAAGGGATGATGCCCAACCAACTGAGCCACACCGGCCAGGGTACTGCCACCTGTTTGGAAGGCCAGAAATTCCACCATTAAAAACTTTTCTCTAGAACAGTGGTTCTCAACCTTCTGGCCCTTTAAATACAGTTCCTCATGTTGTGACCCAACCATAAAATTATTTTTGTTGCTACTTCATAACTGTAATGTTGCTACTGTTATGAATCATAATGTAAATATCTGATATGCAGGATGGTCTTAGGCGACCCCTGTGAAAGGGTCGTTCGACCGCCAAAGGGGTCGCGACCCACAGGTTGAGAACCGCTGCTCTAGAAGGTTTTGCCCATTCTGCTCTTACCTCTCTATAAACTCAGTAGCTTTCATAAACCCACAAGCTCCTCTCTGGAGCAGGAGGTGCTAGTGGTCATCCCGGACAGCAGTTAACAAGTCAGCCTCGGGACATCCTGCGCCTGTGAGCCTCCCTCCTGCCACCAGCCTGGCACTGTCTGCTCCTCCCACACAAACACTCCTCAACTGCCGCGAGATGGCTCAATCTGTAAATATTTACTGACCTGAACACTGATCATGGACCCTGTAACAAAACATGTAACCTGGCGTTAAGTACTCACAAAATAGATGGTGTTTTCAGAATTCTTATTCCACCAGGCTGATTGGGAAATACATCTTCCAAGAAAAAATATATGTGTCCGACTGCAATACCTAAAGTCAACCAGAAATAAAGGAGGGAGAGGATTAAAATTTTAATTGCAAGTGAATCTACCAACACAAATTCCTTATATTTAGGAAGAAATATCAATATAGTAAGAATTAGAAAACTAATATTATAATCTTTGAGCACATAACTATTAAATAATACCATAATAGCTATTATATGAAGGCCAAACATGAAAAATAGTGACAAAAATAAGTTTATAAGTAACATAATAGAAAAGCAGTGATAAGACTCTTACCCAAGAGGTCCACAATGATTGAGTTCCCCAACAACAAGGAAAAGCCCATGAGCACCCAGGGTAGAAAGGGGGCCTGGAAATTGAGAAGGCCGAAGAAGTTCATGCGGACATATGGATTCCTTCGGCTCCACACGTAGACAAGCATTATTGTAAAGGCCTGGCCCAAGAAAACTAAGCTCACAAACAAACCAAAAATCTAGCAGATGGCATTAAGGAAAACATCAACATTAAAATGTAATAGGGAAGACTAGGCAAGAGAACTAAGGATTGTGTTCTAACAAAAGTCTGAATTAGGAAAGCTAAGCATTAGTTACTTACATCTTTAGAAGAAAAAGGCCTGAAAATAATTCCCCAGAGCAATCAGGCAAAAACCTGCTTAGGCCAAATTATCTGGATTTCAAAGTGTTATTCTGCTTTCATGAAGTTTTTGTCTTTTTGGAAAATGTGTTAATTATTTGGTCAATAATTGAATTGAAGTTCACTCACCATTAGCACCTTTACAGAGGGTGAATAAAGCCAACGGCAGCAAAACCATCTTGTCAGACGGACTACATTCAAGTCTGTTATATGGTTGACAATTCTTTCTTTTTTTAAATAATTTATCAGTTTTGGTAGTAACCAAATAATGTCTTACCAACCTTATTTAGAAGTGAAGCACACCATGAACAATAATATAGGGTACCCCAAAAATGTATACACATACTTTGAATAATTATAAAGGCAGTGTTTATTAAAATACACTTCACTTTCAAAACTGAAAATGCTGTTAAAGAGTATGTATACATTTTTGGGGGGGAATACACACACACACACACCACATCTTCTTTATCCATTTATCCACTAGCAGACAGTAACCCATCTTGGTTAGAAGTTCCTCTGACGTGCTCATAGTAGAAAAGCATCCTGTCTAACCACTAGGCTTAGAAACTGTCACATAAAGTGTGCTGTACAATAAACAGTAGTACCCTCAAGCAGATTTTTAAATTATTATTGACTTTTAGAGAGAGAGGGAGAGGGAGAGAGGAACATCAATGTGAGAGAGAAACACTGATCAGCTGTCTCCTGCATGCTCCCTACCGGGGATTGAGCCTGCAACCTGGACATGTACCCTGCCTGAGAATTGGACCGGCAACCTTTCGCTGCACGGGATGATGCCCAACCAACTGAGCCACACCGGCCAGGGTACTGCCACCTGTTTGGAAGGCCAGAAATTCCACCATTAAAAACTTTTCTCTAGAACAGTGGTTCTCAACCTTCTGGCCCTTTAAATACAGTTCCTCATGTTGTGACCCAACCATAAAATTATTTTTGTTGCTACTTCATAACTGTAATGTTGCTACTGTTATGAATCATAATGTAAATATCTGATATGCAGGATGGTCTTAGGCGACCCCCAAAGGGGTCGCGACCCACAGGTTGAGAACCGCTGCTCTAGAAGGTTTTGCCCATTCTGCTCTTACCTCTCTATAAACTCAGTAGCTTTCATAAACCCACAAGCTCCCTTCTGGAGCAGGAGGTGCTAGTGGTCATCCTGGACAGCAGTTAACAAGTCAGCCTTGGGACATCCTGAGCCTGTGAGCCTCCCTCCTGCCACCAGCCTGGCACTGTCTGCTCCTCCCACACAAACACTCCTCAACTGCCGCGAGATGGCTCAATCTGTAAATATTTACTGACCTGAACACTGATCATGGACCCTGTAACAAAACATGTAACCTGGCGTTAAGTACTCACAAAATAGATGGTGTTTTCAGAATTCTTATTCCACCAGGCTGATTGGGAAATACATCTTCCAAGAAAAAATATATGTGTCCGACTGCAATACCTAAAGTCAACCAGAAATAAAGGAGGGAGAGGATTAAAATTTTAATTGCAAGTGAATCTACCAACACAAATTCCTTATATTTAGGAAGAAATATCAATATAGTAAGAATTAGAAAACTAATATTATAATCTTTGAGCACATAACTATTAAATAATACCATAATAGCTATTATATGAAGGCCAAACATGAAAAATAGTGACAAAAATAAGTTTATAAGTAACATAATAGAAAAGCAGTGATAAGACTCTTACCCAAGAGGTCCACAATGATTGAGTTCCCCAACAACAAGGAAAAGCCCATGAGCACCCAGGGTAGAAAGGGGGCCTGGAAATTGAGAAGGCCGAAGAAGTTCATGCGGACATATGGGTTCCTTCGGCTCCACACGTAGACAAGCATTATTGTAAAGGCCTGGCCCAAGAAAACTAAGCTCACAAACAAACCAAAAATCTAGCAGATGGCATTAAGGAAAACATCAACATTAAAATGTAATAGGGAAGACTAGGCAAGAGAACTAAGGATTGTGTTCTAACAAAAGTCTGAATTAGGAAAGCTAAGCATTAGTTACTTACATCTTTAGAAGAAAAAGGCCTGAAAATAATTCCCCAGAGCAATCAGGCAAAAACCTGCTTAGGCCAAATTATCTGGATTTCAAAGTGTTATTCTGCTTTCATGAAGTTTTTGTCTTTTTGGAAAATGTGTTAATTATTTGGTCAATAATTGAATTGAAGTTCACTCACCATTAGCACCTTTACAGAGGGTGAATAAAGCCAACGGCAGCAAAACCATCTTGTCAGACGGACTACATTCAAGTCTGTTATATGGTTGACAATTCTTTCTTTTTTTAAATAATTTATCAGTTTTGGTAGTAACCAAATAATGTCTTACCAACCTTATTTAGAAGTGAAGCACACCATGAACAATAATATAGGGTACCCCAAAAATGTATACACATACTTTGAATAATTATAAAGGCAGTGTTTATTAAAATACACTTCACTTTCAAAACTGAAAATGCTGTTAAAGAGTATGTATACATTTTGGGGGGGGAATACACACACACACACACACACCACATCTTCTTTATCCATTTATCCACTAGCAGACAGTAACCCATCTTGGTTAGAAGTTCCTCTGACGTGCTCATAGTAGAAAAGCATCCTGTCTAACCACTAGGCTTAGAAACTGTCACATAAAGTGTGCTGTACAATAAACAGTAGTACCCTCAAGCTAAAATCTGGAGGTCTCTGCTTATTCAAAATATCTAGTGAATTGTGGGAGACAGATGAAAAACTTTAGGAAGAGAGAGGTTGGTACATTTTCCTATGTTTGTTCTTATTTGTTGAAGGATACAGTCATTAAAAATCCACCAAAAAGGAACATAAATACAAAGTCTGCTGTCCGGCCTCGGAAAGAGCCTTCTTCTAGCATTCGACAGTAACGGTATCTTAGGTTCCAGGTTAAGAAAATGTTAAGCACACAAACATGAAGGCAGTAAAATTTAATGTATCACGTAAGAATACTTGGACTCCACATCATTTATAAGTCAAGCCTTTTTTCTGTAAGAATGTTTATAAGTGGTAGGATGGTTACTTCTCTCTACATTTTATGCAACTTCATATTTTACAAAAACTGTTCCTAATTGGGGAATCAAGCCAGATGCTGGATAAACATGCCTCCAGTCACCTATTAAACCTTTTCAAACTCGTATCATCTTTTCCACGTCCAGCCACACCACAGTCTGCATCACCCTTGCTTTTGCACACCTAACTTGGAAGAAATCGGCATCAAGAAGCCTTGAGTGGTAATCTACTTCTTCAGGCTGGTAGAGTATTTCTATATCTCAGTCAATGAAGTTGCATTCTTTTTAAAAATATATTTTATTGATTTTCTACAGAGAAGAAGGGAGAGGGATAGAGAGTTAGAAACATCGATGAGAGAGATCGATCAGCTGCCTCCTGCACGCCCCCCACTGGGGATGTGCCCGAAACCAAGGTACATGCCCTTGACCGGAATCGAACCTGGGACCCTTGAGTCCGCAGGCTGACGCTCTATCCACTGAGCCAAACCAAACCGGTTCAGCTGAAGTTGCATTTTGATGAAAAAATTTAATTATTAGAAACTTACCAGAATATACCATATAGGAGACACAGGAATCCATCCTAGGGCAGGAATCTTGTCACCCCCTACATTGCTCTCAGGCTACTGCAGGTTGAGGTGAGCTGTCCCTGCCCTCTTTCCAGAGGGTCAGGGTGGAGGAGGAAGATCTGCTCAGTGGCCCCAATTACCATATGACCAGAGCACAGCTCTTCCTGTCTCTCAATAAACTGGAACGCGGCAAGCCTGGCAGACATTATGGCTCTGTCTTTTCAGCCAGTAGAACCAGCAACTAAGATACAAGATCTCAAGTTTCCATTCTTTATGAATCCACTCCCAGACCTGTATCAAAGCTGTATCAATTATCACTATATTCAGCTTGTGTTTTACTACTTAGTTTCTGCTGTTACTTTCTGAGCATGCATCAATCAAATCACTTCCTCTCCCTTGATCAGATTTGCAAGTAACTTAGAGGCAGACATGTAATCATTTTATGGTTAAACTAGAGGCCTGATGCACAAAATTCGTGCCAGAGTAGGCCTTCCTTCCCCTGGCTGCTGGCACCAGCTTTCCTCCAGCACCCGGAGCCGGAGCTTCCCTCCGGCCCTTGGCAGGCACCTGGGACCTGGGCTTCCCTTGCAGGGGGAAGGAATTAGCATATTAGCTTTTACACTTTTATTAGCGTATTACACTTTTATTATTATAGATACCTCCCCTTTGAACCAGCAGTGACCTACAAACACCCTCAAAACATTACTATCTGACCAACTACTCTGCACCATTGAACCAGTACCTAGAAGTTATAGCTAAAATGTTAACAAAGCCTTAGCTGGTTTGGCTCAGTGGACAGAGCGTTGGCCTGTGAACTGAAGAGTCCTGGGTTTGATTCTGGTCAAGGGCACATGTCCAGGTTGCAGGCTTGATCCCCAGTAGGGGGTGTGCAGGAGGCAGCCAATCAATGATTCTCATCATTGATGTTTCTATTTCTCTCTCTCTCCCTTCCTCTCTGAAATGAATAAAAATATATTAAAAAAAATACCATGGTAACAAAAATAACAGGATTAATAGTTTCAACTTAGTATTGTATTTTCTAAGTGAACCTAAAGTTTTTATGCTAACCCCACTTAATAAAGGATACAGAAATATCATGTTAAATAAAAAATTGAATCCAACAGGCCCAAAAAATAAAAAATTGGTGATTAGCCTCCATATCTGTTAAAAGAAAAAAAATCAAGAGAGAGGTAGATTAAGTAAAATATACCAAGAAACACTTCCATATTAAAACAAAAGAGATATCCTCTGACTACGATGGTTGAAAGGCCATGGCTAGGTGATACGATGTTCTGAACCAAAAAGTGGGGCACAAAATCTGACACTGGATTTTGAAAGTCTGAATGATGTCACTCAACTCCTGAAATCTGTAACGATAATAGGACATAAATCTTGAAATTGTGATTGTCTTTAAAAAAACAAAACAAAAAAAAGCCCACACCTGCGCACTCTCCCTCTCGGGAGCACACCTGCTCCTGAGCCTTTCTGTTTCCCTCTTCTTCCCCCCGGGCACCTGGCACCTTTGTCTTTCTCTCTCCTAAGCTCCAAGGGTCCTTTTCTTTTGCTTCTGTAACTTGTTTCCTGAACCTACACAGCCCAGCTGGCTCACTTCTACTACCTCTGTAACTTTCTAAATAAACTTTCTCTTATAATTTGGGGGAAAAAAAAAAAAAAAGCCCACACCACATGGTTAGGCAAATTATAGAAAAAATTTGATGAAAAGACTAGGTTAATTTGCATATTAGAAAACAGTGCTTTCATATATGTAGTATCACAATTTAATGAATAGTCTTGAGACACCAGAGAAAAACTCCAGGGATCTAATACAAATTACTAAAAAATGTTTCTATATTAAGTAGCCCACAACACCCAGAGTAAAGAGTAATTGTAAAGCAAATATTCAAATTCTAGTCTGAACAAATAGCTAACTCCCGCCCTGGCCGGGTAGCTCAGTTGGTTAGAGCATCGTCCCAATACACCAAAATTGTGGGTTCGATATCCAGTCAGGGCACATACAAGAAGCAACCAATGAATGCATTAAAAAAAAAAAAAAGCCAACTTCCTATAAGTAAAGACCTAATGCTCTAATAACTAGAGTCTACTTGGTAGATATAAGGACACTCATGTTCTTGTTGGAAATTACTCTTCCCTACCCGACCCATGGAGCTCACAATAAAAACAACTTCTCACAACGGTAGAGCACTTAACATTTTAAAGTAGTTTAACATATTCTAGTAGCTCATGTGATCTTAATCTTGTTTCCACCATCCCCATTTCATACTAAGAATACTTTTAAAATGGCTTGCCCAAGAACACATAAATTGTAAAGGGAGACTCTGAACTCCAACCTAAAACTTCTAACTCCTAATGCAGATTCACAGTATCAAGAGTTTAACTCCAGGCAAAATCAAGCCAAGCAATTATTAACCTGAAGCAATACTTGGGTGGAGCTACAGCACCTAGCAAAGGCCATGTGAGTATCAAAGGAAGAAGACATGACAAGAGTCCACAGGACTGCTTTAAGTATTATTAAACTCTTAAGAACTGCTAACTAATAAAGTTGAAACAATTCAGTTCTGCAGTCCTAGACTTTAGAGCCCGCAATCTAGCCAGGACACAAGCATATAAACAAGTGCAAGTCTGAGATAAGAGATGCTCTAAAGCAGTGGCTCTCAACCTTCCTAATGCCACGACCCTTTAATACAGTTCCTCATGTTGTGGTGACCCCCAATTTCATTGTTACAAATTGAACATAATTAAAGCATAGTGATTAATCATAAAAACAATATGTAATTATATATGTGTTTTCCGATGGTCTTAGGCGACCCCTGTGAAAGGGTCGTTCAACCCCCAAAGGGTCGCGACCCACAGGTTGAGAACTGCTGCTCTAAAGGAAGCATTTACAAATACCCTAGGGACACAAAAGAGATGGTTACATAAAAGCTTCTCTTGAAAGGCAAGCTGGAGTTCAGTGGGTATAAAGTGAATGAAACACACTTGAAACAGAGTGAATAGCATGTATAGAGGCAGAATTACTGGTTTTTGGGTCTCTCTCCCATTCCAACTATAGCCTATATGAACATCCTGGAGCAGGAAAAGACATCTCTCTTTTAGCACTGTAATTACTGGAAAGGACTACCTTCCACTGCAATCTAACAAACTGGCATGTCGTTTAAGATGTCAATCTTTTGAGTTTTTGATGGATCACCTTAAAAACACTAATAGAGGAAAGAGCATTTGAGATCTTGCTCCCCACCCCCACGCTGGCATATTTTGTCAGTTTGGCTTAAATAAATTCTTATAAAAGTTCAAGAATAAGTAAATAAAATAAAAGCACTAATAGAGTTGAGGGTCTTTCCCTCCTGGGGGCACGCTCACACCTTTCCCTTCCCCCACTTTCCCCCCAGGCACCTGTTACTTTTGTCTTTCCCTCTCCTAAGCTCCAAGGGTCCTTCTTTTACTTCTATAACTTGTTTCCTGAGCCTATGCAGCCCAGCTGGATCACTTATTTTTTTACACTTTATTTATTGAGTTTTAAAATTTATTTATTTACTTACTTATTTTTAGGGAGAGGAAGGGAGAGAGGGAAGGAGAGGGAGAAAAGAAGGGAGGGAGGGAGAGAGGGATAGGGAGGAGAAAGAGTGAGAGAGGGAGAGAGAGAGAGAGAAACTCAATGTGAAAGAGAAACATTGATTGGTTGCCTCCTGTATACCCCTGACCATGAATTGAACCCCAACCTAGGTAAGTGCCCTGAACGGGAATCAAACCTTCAACCTTTTGATGTACAAGATGATGCTCCAATCAACTGTGCCACCCAGCCAGGGCTATTTGACTAGAGAGAGAGAGAGAGAGAGAGAGAAACATAGACCTGTTGTTCCACTTATTTATGCATTCATTGGCTGCTTCTTGTATGTACCCTGACCAGAGATCAAACTCACAACTTTGGTGTAACCAGACACCGCTCTAACCAACTGAGCTACCCGGCCAGAGCTTGTCACTTTCTAAATAAACTTTCTCTTACAATTTGAAAATAAATAAATGAATAATAAAATGCACTGATAGAGCTGAATTCCAGAACTGGACAATGGTGATAACACCAAGGTGGTGGGGGTGCCAGGCGGCAAAGGCACAAAATAAGGGCATCTTGTGAGATTCTCCCTGGTCAGACACTCAAATACAGTATTAACTCTGAACTACTGATTCCTAAATATAGGAACTGGACACATCAAAGCAAAACCATGCAGGGAACTTTAAAAAACTCCACACAGATTCTTAATTCCTAAGCTTGGTTATTCTGACTTAGTACATGAGGAGGAGCTTGAGAATCTCTTAAACATTCCCAATGAGGCCGCAGAAACACTGTTTATACCTCCCACAATAAGACTTATAATCAGACATTCCCACTGATTTCTCTGCATTCTTTTCTGAGGTAGTATATAGCAGGCTTTGCTATTAAAAAGTAAGAAAAACACGTTTAAAAACTGAAACACCATGACTGCGATGGACCACTTACTTGGAAGTGTTTAAAGATTAATTCAGGATTGAAGTACAGCTGAAAAGGTGTGATCAATTCCAACTGCTGAAATAGAGAAAGAGCTCCTTAAGCAAATCAAATCAAGAAGTAACATTTCATCATCTATGATGAAGGAAGGATTAGTAGGGCAAGCAATTTCCAACTCTCAGTCACTTAGACTGAATCCTTTAAAGCCGCTGGGAGGGGCTGGTAAAGAATTCTCTAGAACTGGTACAATTCTGTGTGTCCTCAATACCCAACACAGAATGAAAGTCTGTTCTAAATTGCAGTAGTTGAGGCTGGCCTGAAGGCATGGGAGGCAGGTGGTGATATACATCTTAGATATGGGGCAAGTAATGAGCGGCTGCTCCGAATCTGCCCTACAGTTGGGTGAAGCAACACATCTCACTCAAAAGAAATGAGACTCGCCTGGCCCGGCCAGCATGGCTCAGTGGTTGACCATCTACCTACGAACCAGGAGGTCACAGTTGGATTCCCAGTCGGGCCACATGCCCGGGTTGCCGGCTTGATCCCCAGGTTGCCGGCTTGATCCCCAGTGGGGGGCGTGCAGGAGGCAGCCCCGCAACGATTCTCTCTCATCATTGATGTTTCTATCTCTCTCTCCCTCTCCCTTCCTCTCTAAAATCAATAAAAATATATATTTTTAAAGAGAAACAATACTCATGACCCTGCTTCCAGCCAACCTCTGTATTCACACTGTTTATTTTAAGCCTCTTGCCTCTGGACAACTTCCAGTTTTCTATCCTCCATATCTAAGTTTCTTCATAGGCGGACTTTCCCCCACTAGTCACCGCGGTACCACTTGGCCATTGGTGCCACTTGGCCATCGCCCGGGTCCCCAGACACGTTTTCTGGGTGGGCGGCTCCCGCCGCGCCGCCCTGACTTGCGACAGGTCCGGCCTTCATGTCTCAGAAACTGACCCGCAGTCCTGATCCTCCAGCCCTCCCGCAGCGGCACTCCCTTCCCGCGTCCCCGGCTAATCAGTCTGAAAGCAATTCCGAAGCCCAGAGTGCGCCCTGTCCACCGCCACCCACCCTGAGACCCAACCATCTGGGCTTCCCGGAGGCCCAAGCCCAACTCCCCGGGACCCGATTATTCCCAGCCCGGATCGTGAGAAGCCGGCGCTGCATCTGCTCACCACGGCGGCGGTGGTGAGGACGCAGGCGGTGGTGTAGGCGCGGCTGACCGGTGGGATCTGCAGGTACTCCAGCCGGAGGCTCTGGTACGCCATCTTCCCCACCGCCGCCTGCCCCCGCCCCACTTCCCCTTCCGCC